AAAATATCGAAAAATATACAGCGCGCGAATTTTAAATGAGAATTTCCGAAAACTTTTCGGTCTTAATGTATATAGATGTAATGGATCGGTCACATTCTGCGGCAATAACCAACAGAGGTATGTCGTCAAGCACTCGACTGGAACCCGCAAGGGACAAGAAAAATAGGACTATCCAAAACATCATTCAGAAGAACATCACACACCGAGATTTTATCAACGGGGAAATCGTGGAACGAAATAAAACCTATCAAACAAACAAACAATCAGACAAGATGGATGTGCGTAACTATACTCCACAAGGAGATAAAGGAATTAAGAAAAAGAAGATATAGATGTAATAATAAAATTTTATATATTTGTAAAACAGTTATATACTCAGAAACTACTCCACTGATTTTGAAGTATATGCTTGGACTCAATAAAATGTAAAAATGTTTGTTTTGATGAAAAACAGTCATAAAAATTAGAAAGATCGAAAATGAAATTTAAACATTTTTTATTGTAGTCGTCGGACAATTAAGCTCGCTAAAAATCAAAAAACTCATTTTATTATAATGTTAAGCAAAATACAATTTATCTTAATATATTATAATACATATCTTAAAATAAAATTTTTTTTATAATTAAGAAAGAATTTTTATCAACAATTTTTTATTAAAAAATTTAAATTATACCAAAAAGGGACATACAATAAATAGTGCTGTGATAATATATATGCAGGATAATTTAGAGTACATTTAAAAATTTAGAGAATTATATTAGTAACAAAACTAACTAATGATATACCAGAAGAGTATAATGTGAGAGTTGGAATTAAAAGCACGGTTGCCACTTGAAAATTTTTTTCTGTACCAAAATTGGTTTAAAAAGGTACCATTTCTGTAAAAAAAGGTCCAAAATTTTTCTATTGTCTTTTTATAAGAAAATACAATTTATATAAAATGTACAAAAAGTATAAAACAATACAAGTTACATTTATAAAAAAAATTAATTGAAAATATCCACAATAAAGTTGGGTCGCCGAAAATGTACCATTTTTTGAACATGAGTACCAGAGTACCAAACGGAAAAAAAGTACCAATTTTGGTACTAAAGTACCATAAGTGGCAACCGTGCTTAGAAGTGTAAAATAATGAAAATGAGTAACATGGAGTGAGAATCGTGCTTTCTGGAGTGAGACACGTGCTTTATGGAGTGAGAATCGCGCTTTATAAAACTATTTGTGTATAAATGATAAAAAATATAGAATATATTTCTGTCAAAAACAACAAATCAAGTTGAAAGTAAACTCAATATTACGATATGTTTAAAACGGATATCAATATATGTAGAATATAATTTTAAAATTAATTATATTTTTACTCTTGCTTGAGTAAAAATATCGACGACTTTTCTGTAATAATAATATCAAGGTTTAAGTTCTAATCAAGCAGAGACGGAAACTTGAATTTCATATAAAATTTAATGATTAATAATCTGTTTATTTATTAATTAATAATCTGTTTCTTTTTGAAAGACGGATTTAATATAATTTCCTAATAGCGTAGCACTTCCCTTCAAATTATATACTCTAGAATTATTGATTCTTGTTTTATTTTTTTGAACTTACCCAACATTTTGTTTGCGGCAAACTTTTGTATTATAAATAAATTATTTTATATTAAAAAGAAATTTTTCTATAAGCTATTAGCTGTCATGTACATTCACGATTCCATTTTTCACATTATTTTTGAATTTCGATGCGTTATGGGAAAGTTAAACACTTCAAATGCAAACTATAAATATGTGATACACAAAACTGTTCCATATAAATTTAATCATAATTTTTAAAATATATCAATTGAAAAAATTTGTTTATTTTCAATATATGTAAAAACTGCTTGTGAAGTCAGGAGCACAAAACGTCTTCAACTTAACGACAAACAAAATCAACTGACCGATGGTTGATATCTGTTAATGATGACGCTGCTCTGCCTCATTTACATGAAAATCTCTATCAGTCACTTGAACACACCTACAATTCTATACATACACTATTTATTATACTATTACTCAGTATACATTAAAACTGCAAGATTATTTCTTTCAGAAGCTGTTGTGGTAGTACACAAATCTTTTATTTTGACAGTAAATATAAAATCGTAAACACATATATGATACATAGTACAGTTGAAATATCTACGAGGCGTGCGCCAATTGCTTTGTTTATACAGATAGTTGCCGTCCTTTGCCGGTTTATAAAACGCGGCACTAAGTACATATTTACTGTACTTTTGTCGTATTTAGAATTGTTTTGAATATTAGTACATGTAAATTTGCAATACAAAAGAATAAACTGAATCAACAAACACAATTGTCTGGAATTTCGACCTTTAAAAGTACAGTTAGTACATTTGCTCCATTAATAATCTTATATTAGAGTGCTCAGTAATCTCTAAATTCTACCTAAAGTTTTTCTTTCTTTACATATATCTTCACAATTATTATTTTAGTAATAATTTTTACTTACCTGTTGAAACGTATCCTTGATGATGAAGGACTGTAGATTTGAGGAACAACAAAAGAAATATAAATAACCATGTTTTCCTGTTCGGAGAAGATACCTTTAGACATAACAAAATTCGCTAATGAACTTTTTCATATTCAACTACCTAATTTCGCAAATAAAATAAATAACAACCAATGAGATTAGATTGCCATTAAATTATAGTTATCTACATAAATATTAGTTTGATATATATTATATTCTTCAGAATATTCAATAATTACACACATATAAGTATTATATATCTATTAAGTTCATTAGAACGAAACTTTTCAATGAACTCCAAAAACAGAAGTCTTGGGCATAAAATAAAATATGCAGACGGTGATCCAGGCATTGTCATTGAACAGTATACTGCGTGTACGGCTTCATAACTATGTTATGGTTATGGGCCGTGACAGTGATAAAGTTCCAAAAAAGTAGAGTCTTGAGCACAAAGAGAAATATACAGACTTTAATAAAGTTATACAAATAATTAAGGTCACTTACTCGTGGCATTGTTTTCATTTAATTGCATTAAAAATTATTTAAAAAAAAAAACGATTTTTAATCCTATTTAAAAGAAATGTATGAAAAGTATATTTACTTCATGCCTTGTTAAGTTATTAACCCGTATAAAGTTTTTAACAAAATTATTCCTTCAACATCATGCCTAGCACATATATAGCTATTATAGATCATAATGATCTATTAATCTCAATGATTTTAGATAATAGCTCAGATTGAACCAATAAATCCCAAAAATATAGTAGAAAAGATGAAAGCGATCTCAGAGAGCTGGCGAACAATAGAGTCATATGTGATTCAAGTTTTTGAAACAAAGAAATTAGACCTACAAAGGAGAACCTTAAGCTAAAATAATAAATAGTGCAGACACCAAAAAAACGCGGCTTAAAATGCCAACATAAAAAAGATCCTCCTCGAAATAATGCAAAAGCGGTTCCGTGGGGGAATAAATCTCGCCGAAGAGGGGGTGTTTTAGTTCGTATAGTACATATTAACGTTAGGGAGTCGGGCACACCATTCCGACGATGGTCGATTTAACGGTGTATAAAGCATTCTAACTTCTCAAGTGTAAGTGTGTATGTGTGTATGTTTGTAGCAGATCTTTGGTTTATATATTTGAATACCCTGCTGGTCAACAACTTCTTTTCAGCGTTGTGGCAAATTTTAACGTTTTATATCGTACTTAATGAATCCATCAATTTTAATTAGTAATTTTATTTCAAAGATTTTAAGCTGCTTACAATCTTTAACGTCCATATTTCGCAGAGTTGTGTTACAAATTAAGCGATTAAATATATTATATATCATTGATTATATGTTATCATATATATATCATATATTATATATAGATCACTTTATTAACAGTGTTTAAACGGTCGTGTTTTTAACAGATGAGGATCATTATATCATCTATATATGCACATATATTTATTAATTAGTATCGAATCCTTTCTATCACTACTGTTCTTCAACATAGTACTACAAGTTTTGGACTTAAATGCTCTATTGAATATCTCGATTGAGTGTAGGATAATGTAGTGTTAACTCGCACTCGTGAAGATATACAACTTGAACTAAAAAAGTTAAATAATGAATTGGCGAAACCAGGTCTTATAATAAATATCTCCAATACGTAATAAAACGTTAAATACTTTTTAAATGGGTAGGAAGAATAAACTAGATATAGTATGTTTAAACAATCGTGTTTAACTGATTTTCAGATTTAACTCCAAAAGCATGTTATTTATTGCCATATCTACTTCACATAAAGTCCATGCAAAGTTGAGTGAGATAAGCGTGGCAAAGTTTGGGTAAAAATTTTGATAGAAACAAACAAAAATTAAGACTGCGAAATTTTCAAACAAAAACAGTGAAATAAAGTATAGTTTGTAAACAATTTAACTTAATTAAATATATGATATAATAATATACTTACTTATAATAAAGTATGTGTGGACGGTAGAGTCGTTATTAGCCGTGTACAGAAAGCTCATACAGCATACATTAATCTATATGACATCTAGTGAGTCGGGTCTACGTCTCGGAGCCACTCGTCGAAGACGACCAAGCGTCGTTCAACATTACCCAAAGGGGTCACACAAGCAGATTCCAGCGGGCTACAACAACAACATCCAGCGAGCGAATTATTTGCGCATCGAAACAATGATTAACATTTTTAATATTTGCGTATTGCTAATACTTCAATAAAAATGTTAATTGTGGTTGTCACAATTAAAGTGAAATAGAAATTACAGCCACTCACAAGCATATGCTTCTGTAACATTGAAAACCTGATGAGCATTTCTATGAAAAAACTGTGGTGGTTATCGAATTAAGTCGACATCAACGTTATAGTGAAAAAGTATAAATGCTAATAGCTAAGTTTAAAGCTATATAATGCTAAAATACTACATGTTGCACTTACATGGAGTCCAAACACGTCTAGGCGTCGCTGTGTACTGCAAATAACTTGGAAAGACAAAGTCATTCAGTGGCCTGAATTCCGAGTTAATTGAACTGATACGATTGGCTACGATACGAATTATAGAAACGATTAAAAAAATTTGTTCAGTCTACTATTAGTTCAATCTCTAATTTGAAATATTTATAACAATCCATTTCAGTTTAAATGGCTGTATTATAGACATACTTATATATTAATTATTTAAATTCGTTAAATTTTTTTTTACATTGATGAATTTGAGTGTTAGATTCTCTTTCCATAATTTTTATTCTCGTAGACATACAAATTATATATAAATTCACTTTATGTTGACTTGCATGTCAATTAAATAAAGCTTTTTGTAGTTTTTTCGAAAAATGTTATAATTACATATTAATGCATTTGATATGATTTTAAAATATGGCAACAAAAATCAGTATATAAAAAAAACTGCATGTATGAAATTATTTAATTATAGAAAATTATTTCATCCGAGCACTAGTATTATTATTTAACTTCTTATTAAATTTGGAAAAAAAACGCACGTATTCTATACTAATAAATTTCTTATATTTGACTTTGTCCTCGCTCTATTTTTATATTTTTAATTTGTTTAACAATTAATAATTAAAACAAAGAAATTAGGCAATTCAAATAATTACCACGTTTCTTATAAACATTTCTCAATTTCAAATTAAATACTTAAAATATATTAGAACTTATAATTACATACTTTATAGAATTGGAATATATTAATATATCCAATTTTTTCTCCAAACCGTATCCAAAAGTTTAAACGTTTAAACGTAACAGAAAGTGTAAATTTTACAAAAATCTTAAAAAGAATTGCTTTATCCAACGAGTTTTAAAAACACAATACGCAATATTAAAACAAATGCATTTTTATCTCTTTCAAAACTTTATGATCACAAAAATTTCTTAAACTTTCCTTACTTTACTCTTCCTACATATAAATAAGTTAATTAATGCCCAAAGCATGAGTTCGGTATTCCTTTAAATTATATTACAAATAATCTTGAATTTGAGCTGCTCATTGTTTAGTTTATGAAGCTCGTGAATATATATTATTATAATTGTTCTTTTTTCATAGATTTTTATTAATATAATTTTTTTGTTTATTTTTTTTTTTTTTTGTAACAGTTGGGATGGTTTTTGTTGTTGTAAACTACTTATAGGATTTCCAGATTTGCCAAGCACAAAACACAGCCGACATTAAAGCAACGCTACGGTGCAAATATTTGGACTTCGTATTTGGTGAGTAGCTTAAAATTATAGGCGAGGACACATCCGCCAAAGGCAGTTTATTAAGAACTGTTTCATCAGATTCAACCTATAAAATATACAAAGTTTTAATACATAAATAAATATATTATATTATTTTAAATTACTTATATAAAAGTAATAATACATAATACATGTGCATATATATAAGCATTATGAATTTATAAAATAGTTTTACTATAACTATTTATTATTAAATATGGCGATTTCAACTGCTTTTTATGTGAAGACTTTCGACTAATCTATTACTGAGAAACCAATTTAAGCCTATAATTGTGAACAGAAAAATCAGCTTTTCGAGCAGATCGCCTATTATCGAGCATTTTTCAATTCATCTATATAGCTTACAGCTATATGGCATTGTCTGTTCGTTAAACGTAGAAATCCTGCAAAGAGCTCAAGCAAAGATTCTAAGAATGTTAACTGGTGCACCCTGGTATATCAGAAATGAAAACATACATTTCGATTTGAGAGTTCCGATGGTTAAAGTCGAGTTCGAGAGAATAAGACAGAAATATATTTCAAATCTTGAAAATCATGTTAATCCGCTGGCTAGACCTCTTGCTAATATGACAAAATCTTCTACACTGAAACGGAATGATAGATCTGCCATCCTGCTTTCTTCAAGATCACACTGATTAATTCAACTTATACGCCATAATATCTGGTAAATAAGTCTTGGCTAAAAAATAATTTACAAATAATTATATATATTTTATTATAGTATTGTTATTAGTTTTTAAGATGCTAAAATATATTATTAGGCTTTGAATTAAAGCGATTCAATACAGACATATTGTAAAAAAACAAATCTAGACAGGTTAGTAGCTAGCTATAAACTACTGATCTTTCATTAAGACGATAAAACAAGAAAATTGAAAGAATTGTTGGTAAGTGGTAATTCGAAATGTGTTAGGCATTTTAGGATATAGATCTTATAATTTCCAATTTGTAAAACAAAAAAAAAACTTAAGAAAAATACATCACGTGTTTTATCTAATAACGTCTATAAATTAGAGTTTAAGGTCAACATAAATAATAACGAAATAAAATTTGAGTTGTTCGAAATTTCGAACATTTCGATCTTCGAATATGTTGAACGGCATTTTGTGTTTGGTCATATGCATAGATAAATTAAAACAATATCCAACATAAAACAAACTTGCAACTTAAACATGTTCGAATATTTTCAATGTTTATTTGAAATGTTCGAATGCTAGTGTGCTTAAACTGTTCCAATAATTTTATGTACTATCAAAAATGTCAAAAATGATTCAGTTCATTGTTAAATGAAACACAATTAATGATATATAAGCAATGTTTAGCATATGTTTAATGTTTATTTCATGTAGTAACTCTGAGTTACGAAAATTTCAAAGACCAGTTGTTACAACGGATTAGTTCTGGATAGATTATAGGATATCTTTCATTATCACACTACTTTTATGAAAAGTGTACATATCCTAAAATTTCCTAAAATTTCTATATGTTTGATTTACCAAAATGATATATTCATATCTTTACTTTTCTTATCTATAAATAATATATATAGCTTCTCATAGACTTGCTTTATATTCATATTGGTTTTTTTAGGCTTAAGTAAAAAGTATTTGAAACTTA